TCCTCACTCACCATGGCCGGGTCCGGTTCAGCGAGAGGAGCCGCAGCGTCGAACGAGCCTCGGCTTCCAGGAGGAGCAGCAACGGCGTCGTCGCGAAAGGAGGTGGGAGCAGCTCTGACCGGGACTCGCTGCGGAGCCGCTTCACCGACGCACGAGGGGGGGAAGCGGAGCCGGGATCCTTCCGCCAACGGCTGCCCTCGGCCTCGCCCGCCGCTGTGGCCGCTCCCAAATCTTGCTGGAGGAAGGACCACGCCCCCTCGCTACTCGTGTCCCGGCAAGCCCCCGGCTCCGCCCACTTTCCTCCTCCTTGCGGGGAAAAGCGAGGGACTACTTTTCCTTCCCCCCCTTCCAGAGCCTCGCGCGCTTTTGCCCCTCCCTCCGATCGCCTCTCTGCGGAAGGTCACCTCTTCGTGACGCCCCTCTTGTGCCGCGCATCGCGATTGGCTCCGGAGGGAGGTGCCGGATGACACTCCTGCGGGTATTGGTTGCCTCTCACCTGCAATGCGTCAAAATTGGAGCGAACCATGTTGTGGAGATAAAAAGGGGAAAGGGGAGAGGAACCAAAATGGGAGAAGTGGGGGAAGCCGTAAGATAGCCACGGAGACAGTAGGCTTCTTGTTTGAACGGTTTGAGGAAAAAGGAAACCCCTTTTCTTCGTTTTGATTAGTACAATCGAACTCTCTCACCCACCCCCCAGCACAAATAGATCAATCTTGGATCGAGAGGGAGGGCGATAACCCCGCCTCTTTCAAGCAGCCATGCGCTTATCACAATGGCGCTGGCCACACCCCTGCCTTTAGCCCCGCCCTAACAGCTGGAGCCCCGCCCTCTCTGGTCTTTCCCCAGACCAGCTTATTTTGGTCACGTGGAGGGGACCCAGCGCTGGCTGCCGCAGCCAGGGGACAGAGGCAGAGTGGGAGCTTCTCCTGTTGAACTGCCGCCTGCTCTGTAGGAATTAAAGGTTCTCGCTCTGGCCAAATGAAAGAGTACAGAAAAACTGCTTGCTTCTTCAAATTAGGGGTCTGTCTAGTCAGTGCCATGTCATTTATGGCCAGCTGGGGATGATAGAAATTGTAGTCCAGCTTATCCAGAGGGCACCACGTTGAGAGGAGCTTGGTGTACACAGCGATCTGCAGGGTTATTTTTTTAAGCCTTACCTGGAGGAACATAATGCATATGCATTACAATTTCTGCAGGACAGGCGACAGTTCATCAACAACAGCGTGCTGTCCAGTCAATTCAGAGTCGTGGCGATCCTTTCCAAGCTTTTCTAGATGCTATATATTTATTTATTTAAAGTATTTTTTTTATCTTTCTCCTTCAAAGGACCCACGGTGACTTACATAATTAAAGAGACAACATTTCAATGCTAGAAACAGCAATCAATGCTAAAAACAGCAACAATAAACATGTGTCTGTCAAGACCATTTTGACTTATAGAGACCTTTTCTTAAGGTTTTCCTAGATAGATAATACTCAGAAGAAGTTTACCACTGATTCCCTCCAGATTGGTTTGGTTTTTTTGTATTTTTTTAATCAGGAGGCATAGTGGGGGAATGGAACCCCCAGCTGGCTAGCTGATGATTCTGAACAGAGCTGTAACTAGCTGTTTTGCCACTTAGGGGAAAGCAGAACAATCTCAGGTACTGCCCACCTGAAGTAGAGGTGCAAGCCAGGGCCAGAAAAAAAGCGGAGGAAAATATGGGATCTCTATCCCACTCCCCCAAAAAACTAAAGAGAACTTTTACAGTGTCCATGCATAGACGGAAGGAAGGAAGGAAGGAAGGAAAAGAAAGAAAGAAAGAAAGAAAGAAAGAAAGAAAGAAAGAAAGAAAGAGGGCTGGGGAATTTGCATTTATTTTCCTCACACTCGGCAGTAGACTCTTCCATGCCAGTTGCCATGCCCTTCTTACAGTCGTGGTGTGCCAGGTAAATTCAGCTGTCGGCCTTCCTCACTATAATGTTCTTTTTTCCTTAGAAGTTTTATAAAAATAGGTATTTTCTACTGCCTCTTTGACCATGGATTCCAGCCCCTCTCAAGGAGGCCGAGTGGGGGAATCGAACTCCCAACCTCTAGCTCTGCAGCCAGAGACCTAAATCACTGTCCTGGCCATCATCATCTTCTTAGAACTGCAGAGCTGGAAAGGACCCTATGGCTCTTCGATGCCAGCCCTTGGCAAGGAGGCCCCGTGGGGGAATCAAATTCTCAAACCTCTGGCTTTGCAGTCAGACCTAAAACACCGGAGACCTATCCAGCATGCTTGCTGCACTTCATTATTGTAGCCAGACCCATATCAACGGTGTGTAGGTCAACACACATGCACCCTGGCCTGGCGCCCGCCGGTATCCTGATCTCCCTGCTGAGAGGTTATTAACAATTTCGCAAATGGCTCAAAGGCCATGGATCCTGTAATGGAGACTCCCGTCTCGCTGACTCAACTGCTGTTCCTGGACTTGTAAATGGACTTCCACTGGGCTTTCAGGGGAGGATAAAGTTACCCTGGAGCCTCCGAGCAGGAAATATGGCTTGGGAGAGGGTGGCAGGAATTTGCTAGGCACCGCTGCTGCTTTCACAGTCCATGAACCTGGAGGTCCAGATACCACCCAGGACAGACGCCTGGGCTCCTGCGGACAGGGGTGGAGAACCAGCGTAAGGTTTAGGAGCAGCACAGAATGAATAGGATAGGGTTGAGTCTGTTTAGGGACGTGGTGGCGCCGCGGGTTAAACCGCAGAAGCCTCTGTGCTGCAAGGTCAGAAGACCAGCCGTCGTAAGATCGAATCCACGCGACGGAGTGAGCTCTCGTCACTTCTCCCAATCCTGCCAACCTAGATGTACGAAAGCATGTAAAAATACAAGTAGATAAATAGGGACCACCTTGGTGGAAAGGTAACAGCGTTCCGTGTCTAGTCGCGCTGGCCACGTGACCCCGGAAACTGTCTTCGGACAAACGCTGGCTCTATGGCTTGGAGATGGGGATGAGCACTGTGCCCTAGAGGCGGACACGACTGGACTCAATGTCAAGGGGAACCCTTACCTGAGTCTGTTTGGGTGCTGGCACACCCCTGGTAGGTGCATATAGGCCTAGAGAATACGATAAGGGCAAAATGAATTAACAGTATGGATCTGCAAAAAGCAAATTTCAAGCCCAACCTGTCTCGAGGTGTATCCATTCCACCCTCCATATCCATTATACCCACCATGTCGCTGAGTTGTTTATACAGTATTCCCTTTTATTATCAAACCATGGGTTGCTCCAGAAGGCTTCCGAATAACATTCCTCCTGCAGCCCCTGGCGGTTCTGGCCTCGCCGGCCCAGCTGCAAAGCTACATGGATGGGGCTGCTGCCCATCCAAGGCTTCCTTTTGACCCACAACGTTGTCATCCCTTTTGGTTTCCACCCGGCACCGCAGCCTTCTCAAACGAGGAGAGGAGAAATAGCTCCCACATTTTCAGTTGGGAAGGCCGGTCCGGGTAAGAGTGTTGTGGCATCCACGTCCTGTTCGTGCCCTTCTTCCTAGGCACATGATTGGCCACTAAGCCTCCTGCAGCCCCTGGCGGTTCTGGCCTCACCAGCCCGGCTGCAAAGCTACATGAATGGGTCTGCTGCCTGTCCAAGGCTTCTTTTTGACCCACAACATTGTCATCCCTTTTGCTTTCCACCTGGCACCACAGCCTTCTCAAACGACTCTTCTCGGCCCTTTGGAACTCAAGCCTGTCTCAGCTCACCCTGGATTGGGTTGCATCAGGTTGGCAGGCTCGCAATCCTGCCACACGCTCAGCAACATTTATTACTGGTGGGGAGAAATCGGGAAGAAGGATGGAAGCGATTTTCTCCCAGTCTTCTCGCCACCCAGATCGCTGAGAAGTGAATTTGCTCCATCATGTGATGTGGCTGAACATGATGCTCGGGTGCAAGGGAGATCCTGTAGATCTCAGCTAGATCCCGACGGCCATATACAAAACATAAAAGCCAAATCTGAAAATTTTGCAGCCACAATGATCGGGCCGAGTGAAAGTTGAGGAGGAGGAGAAATTGCTTCCGAGTTTTCAGTTGGGAAGACTGGTCTGGATAAGGGTGTTGTGGCATCCACGTCCTGTTCGTTCCCCTTTTCCTAGGCATATGATTGGCCACTAAAGGAATGGGATTCTGGATCCTAGAGGTCTTTCCTTTGCTCCACCATGGCCCCTTCTATCCACCATGAGGTCTAGAAACTTGCTCTTTGGAAGAGGAAGTCGGGTGTGTCAGTACTGTGAGAAAGCCGCCCACCTCTGTCCTCCAGGTGGCCAGATATTTTGAAACGATGCTCCTGAAGATTCCCAGCCCTGTCAGGAGTTCTTCATCCCAGAAGGTTCCACCCTGTATCGCCACTGGGCCCAACAGCTGGCTCGCGATGACGGTGGGCCAAGAGTGTGCTCCTGTTTGCAAACAGCCCGCTCTGCCCGTACAGGTTGCAAGCCGAGATTCCACCCCTGCCCAGGACACGCTTGTGCTGTTCTCAGAAGCCGCGCACGCCCACGGCAAAGCGGGGCAGGCTTCATCCTGCTCTCGGTCGCTCCCACCTGCACTCCACGTTGGCTGGTCACCAGTTCTTCCTCCAGCGACCGGGTGAAATTTGGGAAGCGGGAGGCAGAACAGGTCAGGGTGGCAAGACAGGACCCGAGAGACTTCATCCGAAGAAGAAGAGGAGGAGCCCTGCGGGGCAGTTTCGCTCTCTGGGAAAATGAAAGGAAATTCCACTAGCCTGGATCCATCCCGGCTTTTAGGGTTCAGCGACTGTCAATCAAGCTCTACGCTCAAAAAAAGAAAGAAAAAAGAGGGCATGTCTAGACCGAGCCTGCCTGCTTCCAGGGCCATCGTGGGAATCCTGCTTTGCACGTACCCACTTCGGTGGGTCTGTGTAGCTCAGAGAATCACTGGATTAGTCAGTGGCTTAGGTCTCTGGCTGCAGAGCCAGAGGTTGGCAGTTTGATTCCCCCACTGGGCTTCCTTGACAGGGGCTGGACTGGATGACCCCACAGGGTCCCTTCCAGCTTTGCAGTTCTAAGATGCCTAAAAATGTCATTTTTAAAATTAAAATCTTCAAATCCCCCAGCCAGCCAGAAAAAGTAACTTGTCCAACATCTGGGTTTTTCTCCTTCCTTTCTACCCCTTCCTTTTCGACGTTCTTCACAGCCCGTGGTGGACGGCACTGTACAATGCAGAGCACTGAAGATCTTGCCAGGAGTTTGCTCCGTGCTGACCTCCTTCGCCAGCAACAATGATGGCTGGGGCATGCTAGTACAGCTAGTGGCTCAGCAGGTGTCACATGACCCGGGGCAGCCCAATAGGGTTTCACCTGGTCCTCCACAAAGCTAATGAGACTAGTCAAGTCTCCAGATTCTGAAGCAGAAGTAACCCATTACTGAAGTGTACCCATCAACATCCCAGCCCAGCCTCAAAAGTAGCACACTGCTCTCAAACAAAACAAGTGGAGGCAAATAAAATATTGACTTGTGCTTTATCAGCCTCGCCCTGGTACGAAAGAATCATTGATTGCTATCATTAAAGATCCAGAAGACCAACAACAACAACAGAAGCTAATAAATCTTTACAGTATATTACAATTTAAATACATTCAGTCTCAGCCGGGAATCGGGGCACCACTTAACACTCATTCCCCCCCCCCTTTGTCTTTCCCTCCTGTCCTAATTCTGTACACAGATCCATTTTGGATCTATGGGTTAGATGTATTACTCTGAATCAACATCTATGGGGTCTGACTTAGGGTAATGTATTGTTATTACTGCTAAAGGTAATTTGAACTGTGTGGTCCAGCCAGATAGGAGCAGGAGAAGTTCCTTGCAGTAGAGTCAGGCCGTCACAACAACCCTGGTTCAAAATTGCCCTGCCTCCCCTCTCCTGTACCAGGAATGGTGTTAGGGCACGTCGTGGTTGGCAAAGGAGAAGCAAAAGTGTCTGTGCCAAGAGAGAGAAGGGGGCATCAGCAAGACTCTGAAGAGACCCAACGCCCTTCCCTCCAAACCCTTGGATCCCTGCTCCTTTGGAAACCTCGAAAGGAGCCACCGGAGATAATGGTGTACATTATCTTGGGCGTACTTTGTACAATGAAATACAAGTGCCAAAATAGGCAATCCCTTTACAGACCTCTAAAAACCTCATCATACAATACGCATGCTTTCGTGGATTTAAAAACCACTTCATCAGGCATGTCCCAATGTGAAGAAGTGTAAGTCCAAAAATTCATGGCATGATGGATTTTGCCAGACATGTACATCTAAGAGAGATGTGCCTGGAGAATTCCATTGTGCCAAAAACTTTTGGACTTTCCATCTAAGAGTAACTTTCCTGGCAAATTCCATTGTGCCATGATCTTTTGGAATTACACTGCTTCACATTGGGACACACCTGATGAAGTGGGGTTTTTTTTAATCCATGAAAGCTTGTGTATCATACAATTCTTTTTAGTGGTCTGTAAAGAGATTGCCTATTGTACGATTAAGGGAACTAAGATTGCTTCGTAGCACCCACCAGATCCCTCCACATGGCCGGCCCAAGACAACCCACAGCCTGAGGAGAAGCCTATGATGGCACCCCCTCCACGTGTATCCCATAAACAAACAGAATCTTTGTTTGACATAATGGGAAGACCGCATCGAACCCCACACCTGAGGACAACAGGGGGCAGTTTAGGGGATGCTTCGTCTCCCACCTCACTTTCATTTCCATCCCTCTCCTCCATGCCACCTGAAGCTGCTGCCTCACTTTGTCTAATGACAGAGCCGGCCCCATTTGCTTCAGTGCGTCGCCCGGAACATACCGTGTTTCCCCAAAAATAAGACAGGGTCTTATATTTTCGCTCCAAAAATGCATTAGGGTTTATTTTCAGGGGATGTTTTATTTTTAATTTTTTTTTCATGTACAACCATCTACATGGATTCAAATACAGTCATGTCCTCTTCTTCTGGTTGCTGCACAAGGGCTTATTTTTTGGGGTATGGCTTCACAAGGGCTTATTTTTGGGGGTAGGGCTTCTATGAAAAGCCTCCTGAAAAATCCTACTAGGGCTTATTTTCAGGTTAAGTCTTATTTTTGGGGAAACAGGGTAGATTTCCAGACCTGATAGTGAATCAGTGGCCAGATCAAAATAAGGGTGGCCCAGTCCTTTGAATTACAGCTCTAAATTAAACCATTTCCATTCTTCTTTCTGGACGGTAGGAAGCAGAAACAAAAGACAACGTGACTTCCCAAACCTCCTGCCACAGAAATTTGGCAAAGGAATAAGAATAATCCAGTCTTTCTGGTGTCTTGGTTATCTTGGCCAGACCGTCTTTCAAAGATCAGGAAAGCGACTTCTCTTTGCATCGACAAGAGTGAATTTCCAGCAAGGATTTCCAGCCGCCCGACTTGTAGAATGTCTGTCCCTGTTGCACAGAATGTGCCGTCGATCCTGGCTAGCGTTGCCTGCAGATGAGTAGCAATCCCCCCCCCCAAAAAAGGGCCTAGAGAGAGTGTCTAAAATCCAGTTCTATCCCTACCACCTCAATGTGGCAAGAGGAAAAATGGTTTTCCATAAAGAGTTAAGAGGCCATAGGTAAGGTGCTTTGGAGCTTAAAACCCCCATTTTGAGGGCCCTTCAGTGGCTTAACTCAGGGCTAAGAGACCCCGCTACAGCTTTCATGTCCCCAACGCGTCTCCTTTTCTCCCCGATGCTGACGGTGCCCACGTTCTCTCTCGCTCCATCAGAGCAACGGCCCTGGTGAGGCCGGAACAGTGTTCAGTCGGTTGAGTTTGGCTCTCTCCTCGTTGGAAATGTCTGTCTTTGGGAGACCCCGAGGGGGACGCAGCCCCGTCTTGGGCGCCACCCCGTCCTCCCCGAGCCCTCGCTCCAGGTCGCTGTGGTTGATGTTCCGGATGAGGTGGACCGCGTCCGGCTGGAAGCTGTTGTTGGCGGCGGGCTCGGGAGGCCCCGGCGGCGTCTGCCTGGATCGGTGGCGAAGGCGCAGTGCCAGGAGGGTCACAGCAGGGACGGCCAGGAAGAGGAGCAGAGTTAGTGGCAATGCCACGTAGAGGAGGGGTGCCGTGGCGCCGCCTAGAAGGGAAGAAATAGGGATTAGGGCTGTTGCCAAACCACCCCTCGTCTCGCCTCCAAACATGGGACGCCGGCTTAGGCCAAATCAGACGATCGGTCCATCCCAGCCAGCTTGGCACAAAGAGAGGTCCGGAGTCAGACCCTTTGTCTGCTCAGCCTAGCATTGGCAAGAGAGGCTGGCAACCATAGTGCTTCCGGTTTCTTGCTACGACGTTCTCAAGGCTGATGAGGCGACGGCCACTGAGCTACGTCCCTCCTCAAAAAAACCTGAGCTCCACATTCATGCCCTCTCCTGGTGCCTACCTTGGCACACGCCATCCAGGCAGGACCCCTGCGGTTGCTGGCAAAGGGCACCTTCCAGGCAGGAACAGATGAAGCTGCCTTCTCCACTTACACAAGCGGTGCCCTGGGGACAGGGGTTCAGCGAGCACAGATCCACGGAGACCTGCGGGATCAAAACAAGGGACACCCACGGAGGGCGAGGTCAGAGGTACGGAAAGACTCAGAGTCCAGAGAGTCAGCGGAATGCGCTTCTCTGCAGATAACAGGAAGCAGCCCTTCCAAGCCTCCCGTCAGAGTCACAGTTATACCTCACAGCGGTTGCCACTACGACCCGGCAGACAGCTGCACGCAAAGGTTTGGTTCTCGGTCTCCTGGCACTGCCCCCCATGCAAGCAGGGGGCGCTTCTGCAGGGGCTGAGCTCCGTCTCGCACTCGGCCCCCGTGTATCCTGCCCGGCAGGAGCAACGGGGCTTCCCATCTTCCACCTGTTGAGTTAGGAAGACAAAGGAGGTGGGAGCTTCGGATGGGAAAAGGTTGCAGAAAGCAGGCTGTCCCAACGCGGGCATCTGGGGAAGGACACCTGAGGGGGGGGTGGTAGCAGAGTCCGAGGCCATAGGTTGACGCCTCGGGATTTTCTGAGGAGCAGGGACTTAGGGTGCCATCTGCCACCCCACCCACCTTACAAGCTTCCCCAGTTCCTCGGCGCTTCGCTGCAGTCCTTACACAAGGCGGCAGAGAAATGGATTTTCCAGCAAACCTATTGTTTCAAGCCAACTATAAAGTATGTGAAGGTGGATTGGTCTTCCATGAAGAGCCATTAACTTTACAAAAGGCCAGCTCCTCATTTGTCCCTAGGGGCCCACTCCCGGCGGCCAGCCGGCGTAGTAGACTCTGCAGGACAAAGGCTGGCGAAGGTCAGGATGAGCCTGCCCTTTCCAACCCACGACTCGCAGAACTCCCCATTCGGTAGACTTTGGGGAAGCCCCGTCTTTTGGACTACAACTCCCAGAATCCTCCCCAGTCAGTCTGACCAACTGGTCCACGTCAACCTGTCCAACCTCTGAATAAAGCAGGGAAGCCCCGAGGAGGATCCCAAGAAAATCAGGCCACTGCATGGGGATGAAAAGGCCCCGGCTGGGCTACGACTCCTAGCAGACCTCCCCATTCGCTGGGAGGGCTAAGGCTTATGGGAGTGGTAGTCCCACTGCACCTGGAGGGCTGCCCTTTCTGTGCCTTTCCCAAAGGCAGTTTTCTTAGGGCAACAAGGCGGGACCACAACGTCTGATGATTGTTCTCTCTCTCTCTCTCTCATTCACAGACAAAGAGAGTTCCTCACCTGGCAGGTCCCTCCGTTGTGACACTGTCTCTGGCACGACTCCTCTCCTATCCAGGAGGCAAAGGAGACAAACGGACACAGGGTGAAAAAGAGTCACAGACGAAGCCCCCCCCCGCTTCAGAAATGTGGGTCCGTGTCCAGCCCTTTTACCTGCACAGGGTGAAAAAGAGTCACCGACGAAGCCCCCCCCCGCTTCAGAAACATGGGTCCGTGTCCAGCCCTTTTATCTCCTTATTTATTTATTTTATTTATTTATTTGATTTATATCCCGCCCATCTGGTCTATATGACCACTCTTGTCACGCCAACGTTGAGCAGCCCATGTAGATCTGTAGGTTTTAAGACAAAATCCCCTTTCCTAGTCATGCCTGGACATCCCTGGGATTTCCTCTCTCTCTCTCTCTCTCTCTCTCTGTGTGTGTGTGTGTGTGTGTGTGTGTGTGTGTGTGTGTGTGTGTGTGTGTGTTTCTGTGTGTCTGTGTGTCTGTGTGTATGTGTCTCCCATCCAAGGATCAGCCAAGCATGACTCGGCTGCGTTTCCCAAATCCAGCGAGATCAGGGTTCGGACTGGTTTGGTTCCCCATCGAGGAAGGAAGCCTCACTTCACGAGACCGGCTGTTTGGTCCAAGACGGCTCGTGGGGCTCAGGAATCTGCACGCCATTGAGCCAAATGTGGCCTGCAGGATCTGACCCGCTAGCCTCTGAGCTGGCCCCACACCACGGCCCTTCCCTGCATCCCCACATGCCGGAGCCGTTCTCCCCCTGACTGATCCGCTGAGCACAGCTGGCTCGAGAGGATGCTGGGGACGGTCATCCTACTACGCCTCTGGAGGGCTTCCCCACCTGGTTGGGGAAGAATGAAACAAGGGGCCATATCCTTCAAAGCTGGGTGACCCAGAGATCTATGGGGCCTCAGGAAGATGTGATGATCTGTGGTGGTCCTTCTGTTAAGGCAACGTGATTGACCGCCAGCTATGGAACTTGTCCCCTCTTCCTTGCGTGACCTGCTCTGCCAGTTTAAGACTTGTTTTCCAAGAAACTTCCGCT